TTGCAGGCAACCCTCTCAGACCTCCTCAGCCTCAGTAACTACAGGTGATGCTGCTACTGCAGAACAAAGGGCACATGGTATGATATGTACACACTCAATGCATTTGTCCTTACATGCACCATTTTGTATTTGCCTTTACTTGCGTGTTTTGATTCATGTATGAATTTTGGTTTACAGATGAGTCATCTTGGAATCCTGCGCTGCGCAACATCAATTTCCTTCTGCAAGTGATGCTCCCCTTCCTGCCCCTCCCACTCCAGAGACAAAACCACTTGGTAACCATAATTTGTGTGTACATGTTGATGATTTGAACCCCTGGTAAAAATTGTCGAAATGACACTCACCTCAGGCATGCATCTCTCTCGTGCACCATGCGCAGTGCTGACAACATGGTACCGATGCCGATTGCCTGTTAGCCCAGTTAGTGAGCATGCAGAGTGTTGTGGATTGCAATCCCACCCAGGGTAGCTCTTCTTTTTTCCTTGAACAAAATGGATGTAGTTGCCTTGTTTGCTTTGCCTTGCTACCTCGTTGTTGACACATCTGTACTTCAAATTGCAACATCTCCCTCTCTCGTATGTGCAGGTATCAAAGATCTCTTCAGTTTCTGCTCTGAACTGGTGGGAGTGGCTCACAAGTGGAAGAAGATGGGACTGGCTCTCAGACTGGATCCAAACTTCCTCAACAGAATTGAGACAAAGAAAAATGACGTCGAAGCCAACTTATCAGATGTGTTGGGGGAATGGTTGAAGAAGTCGTATGACACAGAGAGTTTTGGGGATCCGTCATGGAAACTGCTGGTGGATGCAGTGGCTCATCGAGCTGGAGGCAAAGACCGTGCCCTTGCCATGGAGATTGCTGCCAAGTACAATGGTAGGTTTAACTGGTCATACACCTTATCCCTTGTGTTGTTCTCACAAATACAAATCACTAGAGGAATGCAACACATTTTTGACGAGCTTGAAAGCGAGGAGTTCAGTATTTTCCGCCTGTTTTCACGTGTATTTAGAATCACGTAAACATTACAGTGCGGCAGTGCGGGTGTCACAACATATAACATAGAACAATTCCACATTCAGACTACTAGGTGGGCTCGCTTTGCTCACCAATTATTTTTTTCCTCTCTCTCTTCCACAGTGCCACCTCCACAATAGCCGAACCAACCTCACTTACATCCATATTCAACATACCGGTATCTTCAGACATTATTATTGGCTGACTAAGCGAGCCTACACATTTTTCCTTATTATAATTCCTCACATCAGGCACTACTCACTGTGCCTCAAGATTCACACCCGAACTCTTTGTCTCAGTGTCATAATTTAGAGTCTGTGTGTGAATGTGTGTTTCTCTATGCAGCGGTGTTTGTGTGTTGCCTTTTCTCTCTGTTTGTCTGATCCAATTGTCACCTGTATTTGTTGTATGTTGCCTCGTCTCTCAAAAAATTTAATTCTCTCAATTTGAGAGTGAACAATAAGGCGCCACGTATAATTATACATGGTCAAGACGTGGCCTGCGTTTTACAGTAACGAGCAAGTCTATCATGACTAGCTGCCATGAGTATGAGAGAGTCGAGATTTCTGAAGCCCAGTGGAGGTTTTGCATTTGCTGTTGCCACAGTAGACCTAAGAATGTTCATGCTATTGTAACTGCACACAAAAAGGTCAAGTGGGAAAGGGCCTAATTATGTGTTCACCTGAGCCCAGGAAGTCATTGTGTAAACTGTTTATACAAGTACCCTGTATTTCACACTTTTGTAATCTGGACACACAGCAGACTGATGGGGTTTATGGAAATTCCAATGGTAACGTTTTTACAACTAGGTTTTCAAGGGCTCAGGTGAAGTGAAACTTTAGGAACAAGCTTTCTGTCAAGCTAAATTAATAGCAAAATTTATTCACTGCGCATGCACACCGAGGGTTAATGATAATCTTTAGCTCTGGAAAAGGGTAGAAGCACACTTAGCTACAGCTCCTCACTGCTCTAAGTGAGTGGGTGGTTTCGATGCACACAGACTCGGAGCAAGAAGGAAAATGTGACAGGGAAATAAGTACAGAAAGAGTGGTGACAATCGATACTAATGCACAACCTAACAGACTAAGACAGAAATATGTAAAGAAGTCCAACTGCCACAACGATCAGAATGATGACAATTATGACCAGTTTCCCCAAACAGCTTTGCCCTGCATACAGAGGTATAGAACATAAGGCACACATTGAGTGAGTTCTTTAGTGTATATAGAGTGCCCAATTATAGGGCAGTGCTATGCACTAGCTATAATATGTACTTACCGAGTGCATGTGAAGTAGTCTCACTGGATGTAATTCTATCATCATCTGAAGGAAAATTGTTTATTACACAGTACAGAAACTGTATACATTATACCATTCTGGTTTGCATGTGACCCCTGCTCTCTTTCAGTATTTCTCCTTCTCACGCCACCTCTTTGTCCTATGACACACAATGATACCATTTCTCACTGTATATTACATAGGCTATTACCAGTTATAGCTTCTTGTGTGGTTTTGCCCTGGCTTCCTAAAGGGGTTAAAGTTGTACATATAAATCCACACTGCAACTTGAAATGGTGGTACCATTGGTGTTAGAAGGTGATGGTAGGTCTTGAGTCTCTTGACTTCCTTCCTGCTGTGCCTCTGTATGTAAGTAGTGAGAGGTAGGCTAGACGCACAGTACGTGTGCCTCTGTATGTAAGTAGTGAGAGGTAGGCTAGACACAGTACGTGTATACGTGAAAGTAAACTGAGGACCAACCACACACTATAAAAAAAGCCATAGAAGTCCGCCTTTTTTGACAGGTAGTTTTTTGTATGCATATTCTTGCATGCCTTTTCAAGTGCACTCATAGCTGGTTGTCATTGCTATTGTTTGAAGAGTGTCCCCCACCTTACCTCTGTCAGAAGGTGAAGGGATTCGAAAGTGCAGCTCAAGGTCTCTGGCAAGGGAGTTCAGTTGAACATCTCTGAAACACTTGATGAGTTTCTTCCACGAGTGATCTTCATCTTCTTGCATCCATTCTACGTATATCATTCTAACGGCTTCAACATGGTTACCAAATGAATTTGCTATTCCACTGACTCTCGCCCCGGTATCATCTCTTAGTAATAAGGCTCCGATGTCTCTGAATTTCACTGCACTCTCCTGCAATATTCTGATCTCTCTCTTGGATGTTGATAGTTTTATCAGGTCACCCATCACTAGAAAGGAACAGATACACAGAGAGTATGCCAATTCCTCATTTATGACTTTTTTTACATGCACACATTTAGTGCCATCGTCTCAACAGAACACTGTGAGAAAAGGCATATGCCCCCAAAACAGCTCTTTCACTAGTACCATTTCCATACATTTGGCAATTCTCACACAAGCATGGAGTCTAACACAGACTAGCTAGCTACATTAGTAGATAGCATGCGGGAGTCGATACATGCCCTTCGTTGTGACTTCTTGTGCCTTCAAGATACACAGAGCCAGCGGGCCCGGTCAAGGTAAGCCTGTGGTAATTAGCATATTGGCTTGTTCACTTGGCTTTCACACCATAACTTTAGAACGTGGCACTTTTACGAAAATCAAAGAAAGCCAGTGTAGTGCTGAACCCATTTGTATCGCTTCTTGGCCACTTCATTACGCGTGGTAGCAGAAAACGTGGTAACAGACGAACAGACAGACGGACGGACAGACGGACAGACGGACAGACAGACCAAGTACTGTAACCCTCCCTGCGCATGCGCGCGGTAGAAGAAAACGTGGTAACAGACGAACAGACAGACAGACGGACAGACGGACAGACGGACAGACAGACCAAGTACTGTAACCCTCCCTGCGCATGCGCGCCGAGGGTTAATAATGTCATTAGTACCAAGTTGGGTCTCTGCTGGAGTCGGAGGACTAGAAGAAGGAGCCTGGTTCACAGGAGGAACTGATGAGGCAGCAGATGAGGATTCCTCTGACACACCTGCAACAACAAAGGTAACACACCATTCCCCACACCACTTAAATGGAAAACAGTAATATGCCATCAATTAGTTTCACATTGTTCTGGAGTAGAAGTCGACAGAGGGATATGTTACAATTTAAAGTACAGATGTGTCAACAACAAGGTAGCAAGGCAAAGCAAACAAGGCAACTACATCCCTTTTCAGGAAAAGGAAAAAAGAAGAGCCACCCTGGGTGGGATTCAAATCACCCAACACTCTGCAGTGCTCTACTAACTGGGCTAACAGGGCAACTCGGCAGGTACCATGTTGTCAGCACTGTGCATGGTGTACGAGAGAGATGCCATGCCTGAAGGGTGGGTTGTCGTTTCGACAATTTTACCAGGGGGTCAAATCTTCAACGTGTACACACAAAATTATGGTTACCAAGTGGTTTTGTCTCTGGAGTGGGAGGGGCAGGAAGGGGAGCATCACTTGCAGAAGGAATTGATGTTGCAGTAATCGAGGATTCCACAGATGACTCATCTGTAAACCAAAGTTCATACACGAATCAAAATACGCAAGCAAAGGCAAATACAATTAATGGTACATGTAAGGACAAATGCATTGAAGTGTGTACATATCATACCATGTGTCCGTTGTTGTGCAGTAGTAGCATCACCTGTAGTTACTGAGGCTGAGGATGTCTGAGAGGGTTCGCCTGCAAAATGTTACATCATACATAATTATACGAACATCAGCAAAGTATGATGGAATGCACAATTGCTGCATGCTATGACTCACATGGAGTTTGGTTCCAGAGAAATTGGGTGGTCAGGTCTCCAAATTGATTGGTGTCGCTGGTGCAGATCCACTCCTTGTCCTGGATGTAGGCTGGGTGTGGTCTGTCTGTGTGGGTTCTCGGACACACGATTGCTGGTCGTGGCTTGTTTTCGGAGTAGCCCAGAGTCTCATCCACGGTCTCGATCCCACCAAAGACAGCCTTTCTCACGTGCCCCCACAGCTCCTTCTCCCACGCCTTTGAGGTGAACACGTGAACCTCGAAGTACTCGTAGCGGTCAACGAAGGTCACCGACCCGGGATACTTGGGCACTGCGGGGGGTAAGCCGGGGGGCCTACGGGGGGCGGGGGAGGGTAGGGGTACAACGTGGCAGCGATACGGTGTCCGGTTGGGGGGGGGGGGGGGGGGGGGGGGGGCGGGGCGGCGGGGGGGGGTGGGGGGGGGGGGGGTGGGGCGGGGGGGGGCGGTCGGGGGGGGCCTAGGGGGGGGAAGGGGGGGGAGGGTGGGGGCGGGCTCGAGGGGGTGGGCGGGGGGGTGTGGGTGGGGCGGGGGGGGGGGGGGGGTTGTCGCCCTGGGCGGGGGGGGGGCCAGGGGGGCCTGGGGTCTCTTGGGGGGGGGGGGTGGCTTGGCGGGGTGGGGGGTGGATGGCTGGGCCTGGGCGTGGGGGCACGGGGTCGGGGGGGGGGGCGATCTGGGGACGGCTCGGGGGGGGGGGGCTGACAGGGGGGGGGGGGGGGGGGGGGTAGGTGGCCCAAACGGGGGGGGGGGGGGGGGGGGGGGGGGGGGGTGGGGGGGGGTGCTAAGGAGGGGGGGTGGGGGGGGGGGGGGGGGGGGGCGGGGGGTGGGGGGGGGGTGGGGGGGGGGGGGGGGTGGGTGGGGGGGTGGGGTGGGGGGGGGGTGTGGCGGGGGGGGGGGGGGGGGGCGGGTGGGGGGGGGGGGGGGGGAGGGGGGGGGGGGGGGGGGGGGGGGGGGGGGGGCCTGCGGGGGGGTGGGGTGGGGGGGGGGGAAATACACAAAACCCGAACTGGATGCAGTCGCCCGATACAGACACGAAGAGGCTCCTGCCGCGAGGGATGCAGTTCCAGGAGTAGGGGCTGTGGTTTTCAGGAGAGAGGACGTGGGACATGAGGGAGCAGAAGACGCCACTCTGGGGACCACCGTCGGTGAAGTCCACCACTAGGGCTCCGGCTGACGAGCACCTCTTTTCCATGTCGCTGGCAGAGATGTGTCGGAGGACGCTCGGCATGAACCAGGTCTCTGGACCCTCCTCGTTCCACAGCCTGGCAAACACCAGCAGCTCCCCCAGCAGGTGGATCAGATCGTCACAGCTGAAGACCCCTTCCTTGTAGTGGCTGCTGAACTTCCTGTCTTCCAGAAACTTCTTTGTGATTCGACCAAACTCCATGAACTCCTGCCAGCCGGGAGGCAGGAGATCCATTTCTGCTGCTTCACCTGACGACAGTTCCTTCCCTGTAGAGGGATCCTCGGGGGTCGATGCTGCAGTTGCTGACGATGTCTCTGACGACTCCTCTCCTGCAGCTGACGGCACTTCGGATGATTCACTGGCAGAATCTGACGCTGGCTCGGAAGGATTGCTGGCATCTGATGGCGTCTCGAGTGGTTCGGTTGTCTTCTCACCAACGTCTGGTGTGTGTTTCTCTTCTGGTTTTGTGTCGTCAGAGGATTCGTCTTCCTCTTCCGGCTCTCGCAGCTCAAACATGAACTCCACCAGCTCCGAGACCTTGTCCAGCAACACTTGTGGGTCGACAAACACGGTTTTTGGGAGGATGGTGCGGAAATAGAACATGAGGCTCACTTCGTGGAAGTGGTCCAAGGCAAGGTCGAAAGAGTTCTCCGCCAGCCCCAGTGACTCTGCCACCTTCAAGCACTCCTGCCGACTCATCACCATCCTCCCCAGTCTCTCCGCGATGCTCCTCAGCTTCTCTTCAAATGCCAGCCACCGCACGGGCAGCTTCACCTTGATGGGCCGGCACTGCTCCAAGACGTAGCGTCGGATCCGCTCTGCCGTCTTCTTGTCCAGATGGTCTGGTTTCAGAGCGTTCATCTCAAAGATCAACTTCTCGGTGGTGGCCCAGATCACCTGACTGGCAAACTTCTTTGGAATCAGCTTTTTCAATCGTTTGTTCTTGTCTCCCACCGTTTCTGAGAGACACTTGTGCAGCTTGTCTCGATGGGTGCCAAGGAAGAGCAGCTTGAGGGGATCTCCCTTCGTTTTGGAGACAAACGTGTGCATGGTCCGCATGCTCAGCTTCAGGTTCTCTTCATTTGTCCGGGTGGACCGGTAGGGCTTGGACACGGCTCTTCCCCTTCGGTAGTAGCCGATGTTTGGGCGGTGGTCTAGTGGCTGGGAGAGATCGATGACCAGAATGCAGGCCGACGTCTGCCCCAGGAACACCGTCATGGCATCCACAAACTCGGGCTGGCCTCCGCTGTCCACGATGTACACACATGTTTCAGTGAAGACGGTCTCCAGGGAGTGGCTGGGGATGTTGATGAGGGATATGAACTCCTCCTCCACCTCGGATGACTCCAGCAGGGATTCCACCGTCACCTCTGGGGCCGTGTCAGACGACTGGTCACCACTGGCCGTGGCTGCCGTACTGGAGGCAGTGGATGAGGCTTTGGTTTCTTCTGTGGCTGCTGGTGAGGATTTCTGGGGAGAGGCTGCTGACTCTGCTGCTTTGGGGGAGTTGTGTTTCTCTCTGACTACAGTTGGTGGCTGGGTGGCTGGCTGGCCTAGTTTCTGGGCACGGGCTCTCAGGATGCGGGCAATGTATTGCTTCTTATCGTCTGGCGTCTTCTTCCTCCACCTCACATCCCTCCCTTCCACAAAGACCACCTCGGTTTGGACGGGTCTCTTCAGGAGTGGTGTGCTCTCTCGTTCTCCCTCTGCCAGTGGCTCCTCGCCAGTCAGTGTCTCCAGGGACGTTGACTTCCCGCTGCCTGCAGTACCCACCATTGTCACTTTTGTGATGAGTCGTTCTGTGATTCCACGTTTCATCTCCTCTTCATAGATCTTCTTGGCCTTGTTGCGACCTGTCAGAAGTAATAATATTATGCTATGCTTAATAATTATGCTCAAATAATTATGCCTGAGAAGTGGATTCGACTAACAATTGGAAGGACTGAGTTACGTCACTGTGTCAGAGAGGATGGGAAAGTGTGTCAAAGGTTTGCCAGGCGTCTATGCCACATGCCGCGTGTTTCAATGACAGCTACTTGGCACATTAATAGGCACGGTTGCACGTTTTTGCCATATGGTTAGATGCACTATTTTATGGGGATGTCTGCAGTCAATACGTAACTCACCTAAGCGTTAGAAAATTGCAAAACTATGTATACATGAGGCTTGCTAATGCAACATGCCTGATATTTGGAAGCCTAAAAACTTTCAATAGCTGTTGAGATGGGGAGACAGACTTACCAGTGGGGAACATGGACTGGAGTCTGTCAAGAACATTGTGGAACTGCTTATCTTCAAATAGCCAACCACACCTGTAGAGAGCATCTGAGACCAGCACCCATGTTGGGTGTGGATGTTGGGTGTGATATATTCTGATGATCTCATGTTTCCTCTCCTCAGCACTAGTGAACTGAGACTTGATCTGGACCAACTTGGACAGTGGGACACGCAGTCCACTACCAAACACTGCCCACTTGTTAGCTGGCAGTGTGTCCAGTGCTGCTCTCATGTTGGAGAGAGTGAGGCTGGGATCTGAGAGTAAACAGACAGTGAACTATGACTGAGGAGTGAAACAAGCCTATACCGTTCTCCATATGTATGTATCTTACAATGATGATGATGACGGCACCGTTGCATACATCTTAATTATGTGCATGCAGTGTGTGACTCTTTCGTTACCACGCCAACATGCATTGCCGTAAGCCACTACATGTTTGTAGTCACGCACAAATCAATCTCTCTCACTTCCCTCTCTGCTTTATGTGGTGTGCATCATGCATTATTTTTCCTGTTTGCTTTTATGACAGTTGCTACAACAAATTGTGGTAGACATGCTAGTGTAGACGGAATCAAAATCAGTAGCAGAAGCAACAAAATGCACTCACCATATGTAGATGGTAGATGTTGTCTGACTTCCTCCAGGGCTGTGTGCTCCTCCATGTGCCATAATTCTCCAGCTATATCCTCCCATGATGCACCAGGTAGGGTCTGGAGGTAGTACTGTAGACCTGCAATCCTTTTCTCCTCTTCAGTTGAGTGTGATGGACTGGCCCTGATATCATCCATCACTGAGTAGGGGTCACCAAGCAACTGCAGCAGCCCCACCCCATCACCACCATCATCTCTCCTCCAGAACTGTCTCACAGAGGACACAGCAGGTAGCAGTGTGTGTGGAGTGAGACTGTCATCTGGTAGGGAGGATCACCACTTGTACATCACAATGAGCAATGATATATTTATAGTAGATTACTGAGAGGCTGCCACACATGTATGTATGGGGTTTTTCTTTTATTCATGTGTGTTTACATGTATATAAGATTATTTTTGTCTTCGCTTTATTGTTTAATTAACCATGGTTCGAAATAAAATTACATTATGTATACGGAGCTGTAACATTCCACGTAATTCTGAATAGCTCGCCAATAAAAAGTTGCATCTGTTCTTTACCAGTGAGAGGTTCAGCATAGGATCTTATGGAGTCAGCCATCTTGGTTTCTTTCATGGTATGTAGTGCCACAATGAGTCTCCTCCAGCTAGCCATTGGGTCGGTGTTAATCCAGTGTGAAATCAGCTGTTTCTTCTGCTCCATCTCATCTGGGAACTTCTGTCTAATCTCCTCTATCTTTGACCGTGGTATGTAGAGATGGTACCCCAGTCCCTCCTCCCCCCACCAATCCCCCACTCCCTCACTTCTCTCATCACATTGGAGGGAGTGAGAGCAACACCTGCAGCAACACACACCAGAGACAACAGTCAACACACTGGTGTGTAGTAGTAGAGTCCAGCTGTGTTACAGTGGAACCTCTGAACAAGGGACACTATGGGGACAACGATTTTATCC